CTCTGTGGAGTGGGGATGGAGATAAGATCATATAATTGTTTTCTTGTTCATAGTGGGAAACAATTCCCTGTCTCATTCTGCCACATACACCTCTCAAGACACCCTGATGTGGAGGTCCTGAGTTTCCTAAGGAATAGTGTGGCCTGTTTCTCATCAGCGAGCAAGGATCCCTGCTTACTTTCTCCCGTTACTGAGTCATTCCGGATTCTTCCATTTCATGGTTGTCTTCATGCCTTGGAATGTAGGGCTTACAAATCTCTTTTACTTTTATCATCTGTGTTTTCATCATTGGTGGGGACTTTTGAAAGGAAGAGAGAGGAAAACCAGCATGTGTATTTCATCATCTTGAAATAGAGAAATTCTCTTTGGGAGAGCTCAAGCAATAGTTTCAGATTTTTTTTTGTTATAGACATAATACTTCCCACATTTGTGTTAGGTAAAATTGAGTCTATGAGGTGCTTTGATTTCATTGATTCGTTTGTTGCATTGATTTGTTTGTTGCTGTCATAGAAAAACACACACTATGCGACAGTTCTGAGAATAGCCCATCCTCTGCAGAATCAAATCTTTGTGGGAGGAGAATTGTGGGGCTTGAACTTAGCCTTGTGCTCTTATTTGGCATTTTCACTCAAGGCTAGAGCTATGTCTCCACTGTCTTTTTGATGAATAAGTGAAGATAAGAGTCTCATAGACTTTTTTTTTCTGCCTTTCCTGGCTTTGAACCTCAGTCTTCAAATCTCAGCCACCTGAGTAGCTAGGATTATAGGCATGAGCCACTGGCAAGCCAGCTGGAAATCCAACTTTTTATTTCAATAACCTTTAACTAAAAATTGCCCCAAATTGATCAAGTGCTGAAGTTTCTTGGTTTGCAGAGGCTTTGTGAGTATGGTTTATTACACCAGGGTATAATTTGGTGACACCTCTCAGGCTGGCTGTCATTTCCCAATGAGTCATCTTTGGGAGTTACTTTCCATGCCTGACACTCTACTACATTTAATTGACTGCCTGGTGTGCTCAGAAAGAACCAAGATTGGCAGCAGATGCAAAATCCCCAGGCTGACAAAACCAGGAACCTACAATGCAATTCCAAGTCCTGGGTAGTGGGTGGGTGTTGGTGAAGAAGCATGAGAATAACTGCCCAGCTTCAGGAGCTCCTTGAGGTGAAGCATGGCGGACTGCAGGGCAGCGCTACTGGCTGTCATCCTCATCCCAGACCAGGGACCAGCACTGCCCCGTGCATTGTAGGATATCCACCACATCCCTGGCCTCTACCTGCTGGGCAGGGTCCTTCCTCTCCTGAGGTTGTGACAGCTCAGAATGACCAGGCATTGCCAAATATCCCCTGGAGGGCAGAGTGGACTCCTGTCAAGGGCCTCCAGAAGTCATGGCCTCCTTTTCACTTTTGTGTAATCCTGCTGTAGATGCTTGAAGTTGTAGAGAAGGTGTAAATGTACTAGAATAGCAGCATATTTCCCCGGAACTCTGAAAAAGGAGATTATTCATAAGTCACCTATATTTTTATATCTGGCCAGTGCTGATCAAATTGCCAGGGCCTTAAATATTCTGATACCTACCATACTTGAAATATCTCATTATTTTGAGCTCATACTTGGTGGCAGATGGTATTTTAAAGCATCTTCAACATTCTGTGAGAGAAATGATGGGGAAACTGAGGCATGTGGCATTTATGCAAATCACCTGAGTTCATATTGTCTGTAAGTAGCTGAGCTGGGACTCATAGCCAGGTGGTGTGTCTTCCTTGGTGCATTGTGCTGTGGCTGATTTTTTACCATAATGCCACGTATAGACTTGGGTCTGTCTGACTATCTCTTAAGCTGGTGTGTTTCTCACCTTTAGTAGTTCGTGCATAGCAGGGGCCCAGTGAAGGGTCCTTCTTGCTGAATGAATGGAGTTATTCTAAACAGCAGTTTCCCAGACCGTTTCTAAGAACAGAGGAAACACAATAAAAAAAAGTGTGCACATTATAGTTTCTTGAAAGGAGATGAGTTGTGATATTGTAGGTCATTAATGTGTTACAAATCTCTGTCATTAGGAGGATAATTGCCTTCCAATGCAGAGAGGAAGTGGTGGTATAATTACAGCCCTCAGGCTGCTGTCTGGCAGGGTTGGGAACTGAGAAGTTACACTGTGCAGGGAGGTGCCATTGTTCCTTCAGAATTAGCCTGGAACAAAACGCACCAAGCCGCCCCTAGCCCATACTTCATACTTGCTGTTGATTCTAGAAGGCAGAAACTACAGCATGCCCAGGGCCTTATCAGAGATGTCTCTGGGGCCATGTTCATCCTGATGCTTGTACAACTGAAAGCTTGTTTTCTGGGGAATGCTGACTTTGAGATGGCAGTGTCTTTGTAAAACCTTGTTGTGTTCACATATTAGCAGGTGCCTCAAAGTTCATCAAGGGTGGTTTCAGGCTTGGCCTGGGTGGTTTGGTTGTTATTCAATGCTGTTTTAGCTCATGTGGTGATGGGTGGAGTTCTGCTCATGGAACCCTTGGCCAGGTTGTTCATCTACTATAACTCTATCCTGAATTTCATGTTTCTGCTGCCCATGAAAAGCCAGGTTGTCTTTAAAAGCTTGAACAGATGGCTTCACTCTATTGTGGTTTGTAATCTTTTGAGTAAATGTCCAGGAGTGGAATTGCTGGATCATAGGGTAGTTCTATTTTTTAATTTAATTTTATTTTTTTATTGGTTGTGGGGCTTGAACTCTGGGCTTGGGCACTGTCCCTCAGCTCTTTAGCTCAAGGCGAGCGCTCTTATGCTTGAGCCACAGCACCACTTCCAGTTTTCTAGTGGTTTATTGGAGATAAGAGTCTCACAGACTTTCCTGCCTGGGCTGGCTTTGAACTGTGATCCTCAGATCTCAGCCTCCT